GGGGGGGGGGGGGGGGGGGGGTATCAAAGCTTGGAGTCAGATAGGAACCATATAAACTAAAATCTGAGTGCAGAAAGACTGATATTACCTGGAAATCTTTATTAAGGCAACCCACAGACCTTAGTATGTATACTTTAAAACTGTAGTGCAATTTCTTCTTTTCTTTTTTGGGGGGTTGCAATCCGAAATGATTTTAAGTTTCTAATCACACAAGACTTTCACATTACAGTTTTCACTACAAAATTGGAGTTGCTATGAAAAAATGCTCAAACCATCTCAAAAAATACAAATCAGAAAGAAATTAAATTGGACAACCAAGCAAACATTGGAAGAAGTGAGGGTCATCATACCTGAGCAGATATTGCCAGTGCATCTGTGAGAAGAGACACAGAAAACCAGACTTGAAAGCATATTTGATGAGCAGCCATTGCTAGTGGACCTTGACGTGCAGCCATTGATGTTGCCAGTGTCGTGGTTGTGAGGAGAGCAAGAGTTCTCCCAAGAAGGAAACCACCTAAAAGAGCACAAGATTTGTAACTCAACTCTAAAAAATATGTCCACATTTCCTAGAGAGTATAGTAAAAATGGTAAAGCAGAGAGAAACAGGTTTAGCATAAATTCTAATTATGTGAAGTGTGTGTGCAATCATTCTAAAGGGGCAACCCAAGTCAATCAGGAACAAACTAAACATAATATCCTGCTTTTGGGAAGCAAAATTAGTATAGAAAAACATTTAACACATGTTTGCTTAAATAGGAGACCAATAATGGCCTACACTCGTCATTCAGTTCTACTATTACTTTCACAGCACAAAACAGTCGATGAATTCTACAGCTCAGCACAGGAATATCAAATAAGAGTACCAGTAACTTGGCATACCAAATTGTCTCACTCCCACATGTTGTGGCTTTAAAGTAACATTTACAATTAACTACATAGCACAATGATTTTCTTTTCTCCCAAAGGTTCCTAAGCTTGAAGCAGAGAGAAACTAATTTACAAGTAAAAAGAAAGAACTTTAAGAAACTCGGAATCTTAAGTTATTTAAGCTTCATATGGTGCAATCCAAAGAGGTTCTTCCCCCTGAATTTTGCAACTCTGTAAACACAAGTCATAATCACCAATATGTCACGCTTACAATGATTCAGGAACTTCCATGCGTTTGATAATGGTGTTATCTTTACTCAGGAGCATTCTTAAGCAGACTGAAAATATTCCAGAGAACATGGATATTACNCATTAATAGAAACCCATATGCAATGCAACGCAACCCAATTAATGACGTGTCCAAACAGTTATTTGGCTTACCATAGAACGAGCAGCAAATGCGAAATCTGAAGCACCATAATGAAGGCCATCAAAAATAAAAGCTAAAGAATTCAAAGGTTGACTGGCACTGACAAACTGTAATCATATTACATAACATCACAATAATAAAGATGTTCACAGCCCCCATTGGAACCCAAAGAAAAAATATAAAATAAAAAAGCAAAGATGAAACAACACATTTATGATAATACGTACCAACACCCCAGTTGTAACGATTCCTAAGACATCTGCATCACTGGTAAACAAGGTGGCTAATTTACCAAAAGATATGCCCAAAACCAAAGCCAATGCAACCCCTGTGACTAATCCTATCTGGAAAAAGATAATGCATAAGATCACAACAAAAAATTGAACATGAGAATAAAGAATACAGCAGTATCTCAGAACATAATCAAGAGCATAGAAGTATGGCATACCTTTAGCACAAAATAAGTGACTTCCTTCACAGTTCTGTAATCACCTTGCGATATAGAAGTGGCAATCAAGGACTACAACAGGGGGAATTTTTTTTATTTTTTTTTGGGGGGGGGGGGGGGGGTATAAAANTTGGAGTTGCTATGAAAAAATGCTCAAACCATCTCAAAAAATACAAATCAGAAAGAAATTAAATTGGACAACCAAGCAAACATTGGAAGAAGTGAGGGTCATCATACCTGAGCAGATATTGCCAGTGCATCTGTGAGAAGAGACACAGAAAACCAGACTTGAAAGCATATTTGATGAGCAGCCATTGCTAGTGGACCTTGACGTGCAGCCATTGATGTTGCCAGTGTCGTGGTTGTGAGGAGAGCAAGAGTTCTCCCAAGAAGGAAACCACCTAAAAGAGCACAAGATTTGTAACTCAACTCTAAAAAATATGTCCACATTTCCTAGAGAGTATAGTAAAAATGGTAAAGCAGAGAGAAACAGGTTTAGCATAAATTCTAATTATGTGAAGTGTGTGTGCAATCATTCTAAAGGGGCAACCCAAGTCAATCAGGAACAAACTAAACATAATATCCTGCTTTTGGGAAGCAAAATTAGTATAGAAAAACATTTAACACATGTTTGCTTAAATAGGAGACCAATAATGGCCTACACTCGTCATTCAGTTCTACTATTACTTTCACAGCACAAAACAGTCGATGAATTCTACAGCTCAGCACAGGAATATCAAATAAGAGTACCAGTAACTTGGCATACCAAATTGTCTCACTCCCACATGTTGTGGCTTTAAAGTAACATTTACAATTAACTACATAGCACAATGATTTTCTTTTCTCCCAAAGGTTCCTAAGCTTGAAGCAGAGAGAAACTAATTTACAAGTAAAAAGAAAGAACTTTAAGAAACTCGGAATCTTAAGTTATTTAAGCTTCATATGGTGCAATCCAAAGAGGTTCTTCCCCCTGAATTTTGCAACTCTGTAAACACAAGTCATAATCACCAATATGTCACGCTTACAATGATTCAGGAACTTCCATGCGTTTGATAATGGTGTTATCTTTACTCAGGAGCATTCTTAAGCAGACTGAAAATATTCCAGAGAACATGGATATTACTCAAGAAAACTTTCAGAATAGTTATTTGCTTTCATGCCCCTTATCCTTATGAAGAAAACTACAAGCAAATAGTGGCAAATAGACAAATAAAAAAAAAAGGATATCAGACTTCGGTAACTTGGTATGCATCTGCTTCTCAGAATTTAAGAGACACCTTATGAGACCATTGAGGAACCCACAAACTTCTTGGGCTGCTTTCCTGAACCAATCATGCAAAGAAGACTGGCCATAGCAGGCAGGAAATACTAATTCCTGAGTTTTATCTCTTGGATGGATGTAGTACCGGAGTCCGTCAGTTATAAACAGAAATTATGATCCAAGCTACTATAATCTCTTTATACTGTTGAGTTCAAAGAAATGATCATGATGGCCTGGGAACAACAAAACCTTGGTTGTCAAACCTAGAATGTGGGTTTCAGAGTTAGAATAACCACTNCATCACTGGTAAACAAGGTGGCTAACGTACCAAAAGATACGCCCAAAACCAAAGCCAATGCAACCCCTGTGACTAATCCTATCTGGAAAAAGATAATNAATGATCATGATGGCCTGGGAACAACAAAACCTTGGTTGTCAAACCTAGAATGTGGGTTTCAGAGTTAGAATAACCACTTCATACAGTTACAGGGAGATGTTAGTTCCATACTTCATCCAACCTTCCAAACACCCACAGAATTGTCCGCAAAACACAGGCAATAACCTTGTTTAGTAAAATGCCTTACGAGTATGCTTGCTGAGACGAGTTAAAACTAATAGTTCTCAAAATAACCACTCACCAGACTTCAGATAGCCACCAAATCGCAATGCTCCCACCTTTGGAGAAAATAACACCACTCTCTTATTGAGATACCACATCATCAAAAAGGTTACAATATATCTGGAATGTACAAAAGCTAACATGGTTATTTACTTATTTTTAAATAAAAAAAAGGTAAAGAAAGGATATGAAGAAAGCACATACTGAGACACAACGGTAGAAATGGCCGCTCCAGTTAAACCCAGCCGAAAATAATAAATAAGTATGGGAAGCAAAAATATAGCCGAAAAGTTACCNGAAGACTGATATAAACTAAGAGAGAGGAACCATATAAACTAAAATCTGAGTGCACAATGACTGATATAACCTGGAAATCTTTATTAAGGGAACCCACAGACCTTAGTTTGTATACTTTAAAACTGTAGTGCCACTTCTTCTTTTCTTTTTTGGGGGGTTGCAATCCGAAATGATTTTAAGTTTCTAATTACAAATCAACTCTTGAAGTTACACACAAGATTTTCNGTAGAAAGAAAAGCATCAACTTAACAACAGAGGCTTAGACTAGCAAAATTAATTCCAAGGAGACAGCAAGAAAAAATGACAAACAAGACTGGAACTACAGTTATAATCAAATTACCCAACGCTGACATTATTCATATTGCAGTTACAGAAGGTGAAAAATAAACTTGGATTGCACACCAAAAAGACAGAAATAATTTTCTATATACCAACATACACTTGACTGATGTCCAAAGTGCACCACTAAATTCAATGAAGAACTTGTGACTGGGGAGATGTTTAGATTCCCTAAAAAAAATCCATTTAAGGAATACATTTTTATAGTAAATATGACATGCATGGAAACAAACAAGGGGAACAATTTTCCTTTCCAACTCAATTAGGAAAAAAAATTAGATGTCCTACACCTGTATCTAACTTCACAGGAAGAAACAGAATAATATAGATATAATAAGTTTTGAATCCCTGATCATGCTCAGTACGAGAAATTCTTGAAAGGCTCACGTAAATCTCCAAACCATGACCCTGTCTTGAGAGTAGTTTGAAACGGTACAGTTGTACAAATATATCACATAAGAATTGCGATCTCCCCTTTTAGAAGCCATTTGCTTCCAATAAATGATGTCTCTATGCAATGATGTACCCCACAACCTAAGGTAAGGTTGTTAAACGAATCTGCTATGGCACCTCCTTGAGAAGCTTATGACAATATCAATAACAATTGTAATTTCATCCGTTCATCAATTCAGTGATAACAAAATCCATCATAGAGCTTTACAATAAAATACATGAAGTCTTTGGAGTAGGCAAAAAAGCAATTGAGGACTTTAAAGGACTCAGAAACAGAAAAACTGATGTGTTTGAATATCATGACACAAGATATTGATAAATTTTCTCAGGGTTATATGCAAAGAAAAAACATCAACTTAATCGGATGATCAGTGACAACATACATAATTTTACTGATATGTAATCTACATAGTTATTAATTTTTTTTTAAAGGTTATACCAAAAACTTGCCTAGACATAATACTGGAGTCTTTGTATCCTTAAATCCACGGAAAATGCCTTGTAGAGCCAATGAAACTACATTTGCAGGAGCACCAAGGGCTCTTAAAGAAAGAAACCGCTGTGCTGGAGTGTGCATGGAGTTAGCCTGTTAAGAAAAATCTACTTTTTGGTAAGAACTCCTAGAAGATAGGCAACTTGAGTTCATGAAATATGAAAAAGAGAAAAAATTAGAGAATTTTGGAGCATAACTGACAGATGATATTTCCTGAACATAGACCACTACTTCCAGTCACTGTCTAACTGTATTATTACACGTCACCAATACAGAAAAAAGTGCTACCTATATAGGTTCAAATTTCACACAGGGCATTTATCCTAATATTTCTTTATAATTATCCAAATCACTAATGATAATAACCTAACCTTTTACATTGTTAATTCTTTCCAGTGCTTCCCTAGGAATTTGGTAAAAGCAAGGACACGAATGCATTGCCAATTCTATTGAGTGCAATAGATGCATTACCAGCCAGAACTGAGGTCGGATAAGAGGGCTAAAGTAGCCAGATATTTTGCTAATTACCGTTGTATGGTAAGATGCCATAAATATAAAAATTGACATTGTGAGTACGCAGCCAACTAGAAATTTAAGGCTTTGGTGGTACCCAACTCTTGTGAAGATTGAGTCACATGCAACTGCTCTAGATATTAAATAAATCTGAATGGTGAAAAAGATGTTCAAGATGCCCATGTAATGAGGATTATGATTTTAAAAGGCAGAGTAAGCGTGCTCGAAGCAAATGCATTATCATTAAGAAAAATAATAGAAATATGCATTATATGTTCTTACACACATTTACAGGGAGGGGTACAACCCAATTAAGAAATTGTGTAAACTCAAGAGATGTAAAGCTTACCGATGATATGCCCATCAAATTAAGAAACAGTCCAGATCCCAAAGACAAGGCTACAGCCTCGAAGATGCCAATGCCAACTGCCAAAGTTAAAGCTGTAGATACGGAGGATAGTTCCTGCCTTTTAGCTGCCCTATCAACCAGTTTACCATTGATATTTCCTTCTTGCTGACCCTCTAAGGTATGAAAATTTTACAAAATTATAAATGAAAGCTAAAACGTTGAGCTAAGTGTTTCTTCTTGGAATGAGCAATCCAGAATTTAAAGCAGATTCAAAGGCTTGGAAAATAATTAAGGCTTCAAATACTAATTACCCGACCTCCAGTGGGAGAACTGACCGCATTCATTGAGAGGTCTTCAGCCACAAAAGATGTAGCCACACTGACGAGAGGCATATTAAATAGTTTTGAAATAATGTTGAATATTGATATGGAAACACCAGCTGAAGCCAACTCCACAGGACCTATGGATGCAAATAGAAGTTAATAATCCACATATATTATAGAGGGAAAAGAAAAAGGAAACCCAAAAACAAAAATAACAGAGATATAATCCACTAGTTAAGCCCCATTTTTTTAAGTCAGAAGAGTGGAAAGATGCAATAGATCAAGTTTCAAATGCTTCGGTCAATATCTAAGAAAACCTAGTTATCACAGGAACGTAGTTCATGCACGTAAAAACTTAATGCTACACCCAAATGATCATTATGTTGTCCAGAATAAATCTATAGATAAGTAACATGCTCTCAAATTCATGAACGATACATGTAATATTAGAGAAGAATTCTACCTACCAGAAAGTATGCAATAATGATATATCAAACTAGATTTGCTGGATAAAATCGTGTGGCTGTTAGTGCGAGTTTTGGATATTAATCACTATTACTCGATATCGTAATATCTTTTTTGATCTATTAATAAAATCACGTGTCTTAACAAGAAAAAAATATATTCCAAATTATCTTGAAAGGCCATCAATACATTGGCATGAAACCACAAAAATATGTACACTTTTGCCATAATAAAAACCTACAATCCTAAATAATGACTGCTAAATTGGCCTTGATTGAAATCACAAGTTCATGTATCAGTCCCCCCTGTGTTGATAAGAGCTCAGCTTAACTCAAAAACACATCCAACCTATTCACCATCAAATCCCTGAAGAGCAATGCAACAAAGCACTAAGCCAGCAGCTAATTACCATTGTACGACCATCTACTTGGATTAAGTGCACAGAAACACAATATAAGGAGCCAAATCGACCAGATACTCCAAAATAGATAATGGCCACAAGCCTTTTATCAAAATTCTTTGATAGGTAAAATTGCACAAGCAAACCTCCCCCCCCCCCTCCTCCCCAAAAAAAAAACCCACACGCACACACAAAAAGAGAAAGGAAAAAAAGCAAAAAGAAAAACAGTACACTGCCCTTCTAACAAAAAAGCAGGAGAGAGTGTGAAAAAAATGATACTAGAGGGACTTGGATAACACAACATAAAGAAACTGATACTGGTAGCAGGACGAATAATGAAGTTCGAAAAAAATCTCCATAACCACCAGGTCCACCACAAACAATTAAATAGATTAAGCATCAGACAATGCACCTCACCTAATCTACCAATATATGCTGTCTCCATCAGTTGTACGAAGGGGTCAACAGCCTGTCCAGCAATTGCAGGCAAAGAAAGCATTACAAGTTCACGTTTGACATCTTGATGACGTGATTGACTAGTAGATATCCCTGTCAACTCCTTTCCACTTTCGCTCGACGACTCCGATGGACAAATCCCTTTTGGCTCACTGTAAACGGTAAAAGGAAAATTGTGAAAGGATTTATTGATGTAAAGTCTAACTTTTTTTTTGGGTCATAATATAAAATATAAAGTCTAACCAAACCAGTGAATTTCAATACACATTATTTCCTTTTACAACTCATGAAATTGAGGGAAAGACAAGTTACTTGACATCGGAAAGGGGAAGGGAAAAAAGAAAGTGTAATGTTTCACTTCAAACTTGGCTCCGGAAGAGACTTTTTTCATAAAGAATAGCGTTGCCAAATTTAATCTTAAAGTGTTCCAAAATTTTAAGCGTAGATCAACTGTTTAAGTATCCCATTCCTCAGTTGTTTACAACTTTTGATGTGAGATCACCATATGGCACATGTTAGATTGCTAAGAGATCTTCAAACAACTGCATGTCGTATGTGTTTTCGCAGCGAAGACTAGTCCCAGTTATTAGTTGCCAGAAGCTGAAGTGAAACACATCTATGTGTTTGTTGTCATGCAACACTCGTGTATGTTCCCCTAAGCCACAACAGCCAAGGAAACCCAAGAAATAAGAGCACGCTACAATCCAAACTTCCTTAGTGTCCCACTAAAACCATTTTCTTATTCAACTGTATGGATGTATCATTTACCAAGAGCAGGCTCCCAGTTTCCATTCCAGGTTGTCTGAACAAAAGAAAGCAATTTTTTTTGCTTCCTAAAGCTTCTAATATTGATGCAGACAAGCTGCATATTTGTAGTAGCAACTCCCAGCTATCATCATATTGGCTCTTACGTTAATCAAGTACTATTACAGGACAGCAAAAATTTATCTCCCTTCGCCTCTCCCTAAGAAACACGGACAAGGACACGGAACACGTGTGACGTATCTGACATAGACACGTAAACACGACAATTCTAAAAAAAATATGACACGGACGCGTTGGGGACACGTTATGGATAATTGTATTTTCTATATAAAATAATGTAATTTATCACAAATATAGTGATAATGATATATTATTCATAAAACAATCAGTATTTTATGATAATTTAATGTTATCTCTAGTCATTTAGTGTAAATATATATAGATTGACATCATAATAATCAATAATTATACAATTTAAATAATTGCTCTCATCTCAACTGTTCTTTTCTAAATCTTTTATGTGTTATTTGCTTTTGTTATTATATTTTGAGTACAACTTTAACATATCTAGTCTTGTGAATTATATGTTCTCTCATAGTATAAGATATTTAATAGTCAAATTTTTAAACTTGTAAATCACAAATCAACATATATTTATTATTTAGTAATAGACACGTTTTAAATAAGTGTCGGACACATGTCCAAAATTAAAATTTTATCATTTAATTATGGACAAGGATAAAAGAATATCGGATACCTGTCCGAGGAGTGTCATTGTCCGACACGGATTCGTCACCTTCTTAAGAGTGTCCGTGCTTTATAGGGCTCTTCCTCTTAACTGACCATCCACGCAATTTTGTCTTTACTTGACTTCTTTATCCTTCATAAAACTACCTCTTACATCATCCCACGAACTCACCCCTATAATTTTCAATTCTTTGCAAAGTAACTACCCAGGTCCCAAAAAAAAAAAATTACATAATTTTTTGATAATTGACAAAGAAAGGTTACAATGCCAAATATTAATTCTATATCAGTTCAACCCTCCCGATAACTTTGATTAACAAGGATCAAATTGGTTAAGACTTGGTAATTGGTTCATTCTAAACGAGGTAGAAATGGTGATCAAACATCAAATGTGCCCGCGACTAGTATAACTAGTAACAGGAATATCATAATAGTTGTTTGAAGGGACAAAAGACATCATATATCTTTATATAAAAGGCATTAAATAGTAACATAACATGAAATCCAATATTAAAGATCGAAGTAGCTGCTAGGAGAAATCCAGTTTATAATTTTAAAACATGGCTCAATCCAAATGCTCCGCAATATCATAAGATACAGAACAGAGAGTACCAACTTATTCTCACAACACTCTGCCTATATTATGGTCATATGCAGGAAAGCAGAAAAAAAATGCTACTAAAATTTAGTGTAAAATTACCTACCTATTAAAACAATGTAGTGCAAAATTAATACCATGAATCGAAGCAACATAATAATACATACATGTCATATAAACAGGAGTTGTGTATAATAACAGTTAAAAATCCCTCTAGAATAATATAAAAAAAGGGCAAATTAAACTAAATCAATGCTTATCATATAAAAATAAAAATAACCACAAGGCGATGGATCTAGGTCTTACGAAATTTTTTCCCTTGAACTTGAGAGGTCATGTTCTTCTGTAGAAGGAGTCTCATCCACATCAGAAGAGTGCACACCACAATCTGAAATTGATTGATAATTGGACACTTTAAAAATGTGCTTTCTCCGATGAATAAGTGGTGATGTCAGCATTGGCCGGTGCTTTGTGGCTAGACTGCAACGCCTTACAACATCTGCATAGCTCAACCCCTTTCGAATAACTAACCTAGAAAAATTGTGAATTCGCCTTGACTGTTGTGGAGAAAATGCCATTGTCGCTTCATTCATGGTGTTACATTCTCTACTTCTATTTGTCATTCCATTAGAGACCGCACCACCACCAAATTGTGCCACCGCCATTCTTATCAAGTTGTCTAAATTTTTCTTGGCAAAAAGAAAAAAAAAAAAAACAGAAATCACTACCTGTAATGAATACATATGTCAAAATTAAAACTTCACATGCGGACAATCACATTCTATATTGTTTTGCAAGAACAATTTCCATGAATATGCATTAAACGAACACATTTGCAATCCTAGAGGGAGGAAACAGAGAATGTTAATACAATATTCAAAAAGTTAGTGTGGTTCATCTTTAATCAACCACCTATTTGATACGATTCTCTCTGTGTGTATGAGTGTTTGTATGGACACGTGAATACATAAAAGGGCAAAACAAATAAAATAATACAAACACAAACTGTAAAGAAGAATAGAAACATAAAGACCCACCGTGAGTAACCTTGAAATCGGAAACAACGAAGTCTTTGATGAAGAGAGTTAGACATGCATTTTCAACAAGACAACTTTAGGATTCGAATTCCGTCAAGAAACGCAAAAGAACAATGAAGTTGAAAAAAGAAAAAAAACCAAGATGAGATAATAAATAGGAGAGAGAGAGAGAGAGATTACCTCTTCTCTTCCTTTGGTTTTCTCGTTTATTATGATGATAATGGGTTGGCTTGTTCCTTCTAGGGCTGTTGAAGGGAATTGGCGATGATGATGATGAGAGAGAGCGGTCAGCGAAACCAAATATTCGTAAGATTGAAGTCCGGAAGGTGGTGCTTTCACTAAACCGCCGTCGCGTATTCGGAAAAAAATTGTTTTTGTAACTTGTATGCCGCCGCTTACGATCAAAGTTAAGATTAACCGGTTTGACCTCATTTATTGATTTAATTTAATATCTATAATTTTATTTTTATAACATTAAAAATTTTAATTTTTACCTAAAATCGAGTAAAAAAAATATAAAAAACTTAATTTTGTATAAATATCTCCGATTGACACACTCTAATATAAAGAAAGAAAAATCTAAAATTAAATGAGAATAAATTTAAATTTAAAAGAGAATAAAATATAACCACTGTATCTTTAAAAAAGTTTAAAATATTACTATTAAAATTTTAAATATAATTTTTTTTTTGAACAAGATTTGAATATGAATTTGAATCTTCATTTATTTAAGTAAAAAGAAATAAATCTCCCTTAATTTGATATGAGTTTGAGAATAGGATTTATGAAAGTTTTTAAGAATTTTTTACCAAAATTAAAATTTGAATTTAAAAAAAATAAGAATTGGAGATGCTCTAATTATTAAAAAAATTACTAGTCATTACATATTTATATTAGATCAAATTTTTAAGTCTAAAAAATATTATTATTAAATTAAATATGATATTCAATTATAATATATTTGGATCACGTTATTATATATTTAATACTAATAATTGTCCGTGCCTGAAGGCACATCGACACAAAAAATCCTTTACAACTTAAAAAAAAAATTTCATCAATTTGAAATAGTTTTTAAGATTGAAATTAAGATAATCCCTAATATTTTCAAAAATTTCGGCAAAATTTCCTTTAAAAATAGGAGCCCAAAAAAATTTAAACATGTGTACAAAATTTACAATCATATAACAATCATCATATCATAATACACCATATCACCACGATTCAATTATATTTTTTCCAAAATCATCAATACATACCCAACCACCAAAACAACCAACTTTCTATACCCAAAACCATTAATACATATCCAACCACCAAAACAACCATCATTACATACCAAAATCATTATACGCATGTGCCATTAGTTGACACGAAACATGCTTCCATGTATACCTGACAATGAGTGACATATACAAATTATCGTTAAATAGAATCAATATAATCATTGTCATCAAATCCATTATACTAAATTATTCAAAACAAACTAATGAATACACAAATGTGTGTGTGTGTGTGTTGTATGCGTGTCTGAGAAGTAAAGATAGACAAAGAAAGGGAGTAAGATAGGGATTTAACTGTACAACTGATTGATCAGTGAGGGATTAGTCGTCGTTGGAGGTGGATGGGTCAGTACTGGATTGCACATTGTTTGAATTTTGTCAGAGAGAATGTCATCATTATCAATTCACTAAACCTTCTCTTTATCAGTCCCCAAATGTCCTCGTATTAATATGAACGCACTTTGCCCAATGGAGTGAATGTACAACCACCTAAATTATTCACATAAACAATCAAATTAACACAATATATATTTCTAGAAATACTAAAATTATTTTGATGTAGTTACATAAGAGTAAAGTTACCTGATTATGTCAACCCCATCTACAAAAGTCCATTGTATATATTCTATCGTTCTCATTGGCAAATGTACTCCAATCCTGCAAAGATTGAACGTCATTATAAAACTAAAAATTGAAACATTGGAAAGATCATATAATAAGTAGAAATAAATTTGTTTAAACTGTACCATTTAAATGTTATAAGAATCTTATAACATAATTTCAGGGTAAACAATATTTGCGGTGCAATTTGACCCATCTTCAGGGAGGAGGACACTAAAATGATCTGAAGATGTGCATCTGGATAGTGCCACATAAAGGTGTCCATGACTAAAAATAGGTGTCCGTAAATCAACCCCAACGAACTTGATAGATTGTCTTTGGGCTTTATTAATTGTCATAGCATAAGTTAATCGGACAGGAAACTGACGTCTTGTCATTTGAAAAGGCAAGTCCAAAGATATTGATGCCAATGATATTCTCGGAATGAAAACTAAATTGCCAATTTTATCTCCATTTAATATTTGGGCTTCGATTACCCGTAAAGCACATCTAACAACCATCAGTCGCGTGCCATTACAAAGTCCATCTTTTGGTGCAATGTTCCGCAACAACATTATTGGGCATCCAACTTTCAACTCCAATTTAAAAGGTGGCAACCCTGAAGGATTTAGCGAATTTAAGTACTCATTAGGATATCGATTCCTAATGGTACGATCAAGCTCATTACCTTCAGACATTTTATCTGCAGCTAAAAAAATAATTGTTTCTCCCGGAGAATTATTCAGTGCCACAACATTTATATCATTAACGTCATCATTGCGAGCAGAAAAAATGGTGTGTTCAGTGAGAAAGTTCGGAGTCATTATACCAGTCACATCCAATCGTGGATAGATTCTAAATATCAATTCATTTAAACTGTGACACCTGTGTATAGTAGATGGAAGTTGCACGACTTCTTGTGGATTGGTCCCAATCTAAAAAGTAAAAATATAATCAGCCAAAAAATAAAATATTAAATCAAAATATCATGTCATGAAATTCAAGGTAAATTGAAATATTACCTCCATCAAGAAGTTAGCAAAATTAGCATTTCTGACGTCTGTACGAGTTAATCGCATGTTTAAACCCAGAGTCAAAACATGTATATCTTTCCATAACAAAGACCGTCTCAATGATGTACCCACAATTTGCTCGCGGACTCATTTCGATATAACGGACAGAATTTGTCGAAAGTCTCCGCCTAGAACAATGGTGATACCCCCAAAAGATCTTTTATCATCTCTAATATTTTAAAGTGTGCAATTGACTGCCTCCACACAATATCGATGTTGCATAAGAACTTCATCCCATATTATCAATTTTGTTTCTCTAAACAACTCGGCATGCATTGATTGTTTAGTAAACCCACAAATCGAATTTTCAAGCGTTTCCAAAGGAATACAAAATGTAGAATTCACAGTACAACCCCTAACCAATAACAATGAAGCAATACCAGATGAAGCCACAGTAACAACAACATATCCATGGCTACACATTTTTGTTGCAATGGTGTTATACAAAAACGTCTTCCCTGTTCCAGCACCTTCATTCAAAAAAAAGGTAGTTCCTTTTTTTTTCACATACTGACGATGTGATTGCAGTGTAAGCAGCAAGTTGTGCATCATTAAGGGCTTCAATATTAATTTGTGCACCAGTCTGTTGTGCTTCATTTTGGAGTTTTTGGTGCTCAAATAGTAATCGGTTGCCAACTATTGCATTCCAATTTCCAACTGGTTGTGGCATGGGTGAAAAATCAGATAAACTCTTCCCTGACTCGTGGAACAATTGATTCATCAAATATAAACCATAATCTTCAATTTGATCATCGGTTGGATTCAAAACACCAAACATAGTATGAATTTTGTGTGTTAAATCATCACATATATGCGTTGAGAATTGATTCCATAGTGCAAGTGGATGCAATAGAGAGCATTCTGTGAGAATAATAGCAAATAGTCTCCTTAATTGGTATCCCGTTCTCATTATTGAAGTCTCTTACAGACATTGTATCTATTCTTCATCATCTTCAAGAAGTCCTCTTGCAACACATGCTAACTTGAATTTATTGTGCATAACATTATTTACCGTACGCAGGCAGTCAAATTAAATTGGTCCTCTGACAATAGTTAAAAGCAAACGCAGATAAAATCGCTCGCCTGAATTAGGGCTAGTAAAGTACATTCTACCAATTGCATAACCCCTTTGTCTTGGAGTCCATTTCCTGATGGTCTTATTCCACACAAATTTTGTGGAAATTCCTGATAAGTTGATACACGTGCAGATTCATGTGAAGTGCAGCAAGTAAAAAAGCCAGTTAAAATTGTATCTTGTTGTGCACCTTTAGAAAGGATTGTACCAAAAGATTCAGCAGGGTTAAAGACCACACGATGCATCCCAGGTAAATGAAGTGTCAATCATACAACTGACGGAATCTCTTCATGTAAAGGATTACCAAATAATCGTCAAGCAGCTTCAGGAAGGTCCAATATACCTTGCATCAAGATATTGTTAGATCTCATTAATTTCTCCAAGCACCATAGTTGCGCGATCATGTCTTTTATAAATATACTTGTGAATGTATTTCACACATCTGATTCCCGCACAAACTTCAACGTTGATATGACAATTGAACAATCTTGATAGATACAGATTATGTGGTACAACATCTCTATTATCAATTTCTTGTCCCCTCACGATGTAGTTCTGACCAGTATTACGACGACGATAAACATGATATCCATCGCAGTCCATGCTTGTTGATTCCACAAATGCTCGAGGATACCTCTTGGTGCACACCCCATTTTTCATACATGGTGCTTATGGGTTTCGAGCACCACATGGTCCGTGGATCATGCAACTTATGATTGTTTCAAAAAGTAATGGGTCAGTTTGACAATCCGAAAATTCAGTACTCACTACTTTGTCTACTTGAGCACATGTCTGAATTTTATCTGAACCGTGAAGAAACAGAAGTGCATGCATAGGCCTCTTTTTTGGAATTCAATTGTAAAAAAATTTGCCACCTTTCTACCAAAGATTGACTTTGTTTCTATCTCCTTCATCAAGAAACTTTGCTTCAACTCAAAAACACGGGCCACTAAATCAAGACGATTAGTAGGGATTTGATTTGGGAATAATGATTTAGTAATTTCTGGCCAATTGGGATTTGCAGTCATAGTTAGAAAAATATCTGGGTGTTGATTATACCGCGTGATAGCCATTGAATCTTGAAAATTTTCAAACATGTCTTCCACTACTAGTGAACGAAGATGACAAAATCATTCGTTGGCCAACTTGTTCAGGACCAAGCTCATCTGCACAAACATGTGTAAGACCTTGGTAAAGTTCTGCACGAAACTTCGATTGATTCAACTTGTAGTATGTCAATCGATTTTGTTCAGTAGCGGCCCAAGCATCCACTACAAATTCCTGAAATAGTTTTCAAGCTCTCAAAATAGTTGAATACTCAGTGTCACGTTGGAACATACGATAA